ACAGCTTGGCATGTGGGGGAAGACAGGGGTATGTGAGTGCTGGAGGGGAGTGGTGGTGTGGATGCGGTGGGAAAGAAGCTGGAGCAGACAGGAAGGAGACAGATCTGAAGAAGCTTCCAGTTTAAGCTAAGACTTTGAGCAATATCTCCTAGGCAGAGGGGGACCACTGGAAGGCAGAATGAAAGGCCCCAATTTGCATTTAGTCCCCTTAATTGAATCAGCAGAGGCCAGGTCATTTGGAGGGGAGGGGTGCTGGAAGCCAAGAAATAGGACAGATGGCTGTGGCCAGTGATCCCAGTGAGTGACGATGAGGGCTAAACGGGGTGGAGATGCAGGCACGAGAAGGGAGTCACTGAGGGGCTGTTGAAGAGGTAAGACTGATAGGCCACTGATGGTCAGCTTCCACTGGGGGGAAGGCGAAGGGAAGACAGGGTCTCCATGACCTTGTGACATTATAGATAGGAGTAGCATTAATCAGGATGGGCAACACTGCAGGAAGGCAACAATAAGAAGTGGAACGTGGTGGTTCATGCTCAGACACGTTGGTGGAAGAATAACGTGAGAATTGTCTATATAAGCTTGGGAAGGATGAGTCTGGAAGTTACTAGCATGCAGGAGTTGGGGGAATATTCCTGGGGGGAAGTTCAGCAGAGCGGTGGGACTGAAGTGTGCTGAGGAGTCAGTGTGCAGGACCTGTGGATTGTGCAAGCACAGGGGTGCCATTCCTGGCTTACAGAACACAGGGTGCTAGTGTTTTTGGAGTTGCAGAGGGAGCAGAATCAGGTGGAAGAAGTCAGCGAGTAAATGGCACTCTTTCAGAAGCCTGGGCTTATCTTCTCCAAGGACACCCTGGAGCCCTGCGCTTGGGCCCAAAGCCCCCTGCACACATGCTGCTGCCCGTGCACATCTTCGCCACAGCACACACAGCAGATGCCTCTGGTTCGCGTGCCTTGCCAGCTCTCAGCCCTCCCCTAACTCAACTCCTTCCCTGGAATGTCCAGTTCTGAGCGGGCTCCAGCTTCTTTGTGCCCACCTCCAGGCACACAGCACACCATCTACTTTCTGACCTGGCACTTCCAATTTGAGGCCCCCAGCACCAGGTCAGGCTGGTGGCAGCACAGAGTGGAAGCAGAAAAGGTCCAGAGGTCAGCTGGTCCAGAGGAGAGGTAATGATGGACTCGAGCAGGATGGCAGGGGTGGGTGTGACAGCAGGTGGCTGGAGTCATGATCAGTCTGCAAGGTAGAGCTGGAAGGATCTGATTGGATTGGATGTGGGGCAGAAAGGGGTGGCTCATAGAGTGTCCATCTCCATGGGGGGGTAATGACGCTCTTTACCCAGGTGGCAAAGATTGGGGCAGGAGCAAGAGTGTATGCAGGACCATCCAGGGTGCTGTTAGAGACAATATAACTGAGATTTCTGCTAGACACCCAAAGGGACCTGCTAAGGAGACAGTTGAGCAGTTCAAGGGGACAAATCCTACTTGAACACTTAGAAGTCATCAGCATTTAGGTGGCACTTAAAGAAGTTAACGAGGTGACACCATCTAAGGGGCAGCAGGGAATAAAAGACTGGTCTTTTATTATTTATTATTGCTTGCTGTGACAAGCAGCAAATCATCAGGTGATTTCCTAAAAGAGTGACACATTTGCAGATATCAGCATATACTGGAATCATCTACAACTTGATTGCCTGTAACCTGTTTGCTAAAGCAGGTTTTTGGGAACCAGCATTCAGAAACTCTGGGCTTCAGGGAGAATGACAAACACCCCAAGTTTTTGTAATGCAACCGATGCTGTGAGAAACTGCCTTGGGGGATGGAGTGAGCGGATATGGGGAGGCAGGGGCAAGGGACTGTGCCAGGGCTGGGATGACCAGCTAGCAGTATTCTGAAGAATGTTCTATTCTTTCTACGGCCATGGTGAGGCCTTAACCTCCACCAACTCTTGCCTGTGCAGGTAGAGGAATCCAGGTGTGACACCCTCACAGGCATGGCTCTAGCCACTTTACCAGCTGAAAGGATGACAGCCTGCTTTTCCTTTAGGTAGGAAGTCATCAGCTGAACACCCTGCAGTATACTGGCTGTAGACAGTATAGGAGGCTACAGGAGACATCTCCAGGTCTGACTCCTATGTCCACACCAAGGTGTATGGGCTCATTCACAAAATGGGTCACAGAGAGATGGAGTCTCATTAGAATCTCCAGTGCTGAGCTCCCACCTGGTGTCAGGCCTGCCTTGCCAACTTCTGAAGACCTTTCCTTTGAATGACACCATTAGTCAGCTGAGTTTATCACCTTGCATCACCCTCTACACTCAGGTCTTTCCTCTGGGTCCACATTTTATGTTTCTCATCATCAGGATCCAGTGTGATTAGCATCTGACTCCTTTCACTCCAACCTGTCACCCTGTCTTGCCTGCTCTTTAGAGTGTCTTTTGAATCTGTTCCTTCCTTGCTTTCCCATTGTCCCTGTTCAACACTCATTTGTTCAGACTTCTAAGCCTCTGTAATGGACGGAACATTGGTGTCTTCCTAAATTCATCTGTTTCAGCCCTAACCCTCAGTGTGATGGATGGCCTTTGGGAGGTCACTGGGTTTAGGTGAAGTCATGGGAGTGGAGTCCTCAGGAAGGAATTGGTGCCCTTTAAAAGACAAGAAAGGTAGGCTGGGGAGATAGCTCAACAGCGTAAGCGCATGTCTGGCAAGGGCAAGGTCCTGAATTCAGATGAGGAAGGTAGACCAGTTCTCCCCTCCACCATGTGATGACACAGCAAGAAGGAAACTATACGCCAGGAGGATGTCCTCACTGGGAACTCAGTCAGCTGGCACCTTGGCCCTGGCTTTCCCAGCCTCCAGAACCATGGGAAGCAAAGGTCCATTGTTAAGGTTCCTGGGCCATGGTATCTGTTACAACCACAACCAAGACAGACTCCTACCCTATTTCTCTGCTTCTTCCTCACCCCTCAAATGGAATGTTAGTTTCTCTTAGGGCAATGGTCACTGATGGTGCTAACATATTTGTCACTGTTTCCATATGCTTGATGAACATCATGTTTGTCGCATAGTAGCTGTTCATGGAAGAAATTAAATGCTGACTACAATAAACACTTCCAACCAGGTTTCCCTCCTTGTGTGTTCTGATTCATGCCTTTGCACTGGCCAGGGTCATCCTTTTAAAAACAAAAATTTCATCCTATCCAACCCTTCCTCACTAGAGTATTGATTTGGTCCCATCACCCATTTTGGAAGCTTATGGGAAATTAAGTGAGGTTAAGATGGTTTTGACGGAGGAAAGCTACTGCAGGTCACTAATAACAATGCACTGTATTTTATACTGTGGATGTGTTTTTGTTTTTTGTTTTTTTTTTTTTTAATAAGAAAACTTCAACTCTATGAGCCCTAGAGGAAATGAGTCAAGTTTCCTGACTTGATGACTCTAGTATTTCAGGGGCTTGATAAAATCAGCCCTAAATGCCTGGACCTGCCTCTCCTGGTCACCAGTCCGCTGTTCCAGGTGGTCTCTGTGACCTCGTGTGCACAGGAACAGGGTTTAGAGGTATTTTGGGAGGATGAAGCAGTCCCTTGACTACTGCTATTTACAAACTGAAGAAAGCACAATTCAACAGAATTTCCTCTTCCATCAAAGTTGGCCCATTTCCCCTCTTTACTGAGAGGAAGTTCCATTAACTCACACAAACACAGAATCACAAACTCCCTCAACCTGGAAAAGCCCTCAGAGGTTGCTCAGCTAAAGAACTGGGGCCTTTTGTTGGGGACTTTAATTCAAATTCCAGAGAAGGCCCGACGAAAGTGTTTCTCATCAGCCCTGTTGCCCGGAAGAACTCTGTCAGCTTTTCCCACATCCCAGGCCTTGACCTGCGCTCTGAGAGCAGTTTCAAGGTCAGGCCAAGGAGCCAGTAGACTCCCACTCATTCCACCAAAAGAAAATTGTGCGCGGCCTGCACGAACTGCTACACTCTGTCCTTCAGGCTGCTCCAAAGGCTGTCTCCACCCAAATGGTTCCAGTTCCTTCTCAGAGGGTAACTTCCCTTGGTATCCATACCTTTATCCATGCCCTGCTCAGGTTTCATCCCACCTACCACAGCAGACTTCTCCACAGGGAAGCCAACCGCAATACCTTGTTTCCAGGAGAGGGTAACCACCCTGTATCTCCTTCCAGTCCCAACAAGGAGCCCCCAGTTAGGAATAAGCAGGTCCAAGCTAGCTATTAGCCAAGGCTTTCCAGAACTGCTCACTTCCTCAGAGTGGGAGGGGAGAGGCGAGATGGAGATGCTACAGGGGCAAGGGGTGAGCTGGTTGCTCAGGGATGCCGGTTGAGACAAAGTGCAGGGCACCACAGGCCCTCGGTTAGTTCCACCTGCTGAGCCGCGCTTAGGGAAAGAGTCAAACCCACATGTGGCTTTTCCTGGAAGCAGCAGGCTGAACAGTGCACAGAAGGCTTCCGCACTTATAAGAACTGCCCAGAACGTGACACAATGCCAGGGGGAGGCAAGCAGGTATGGCCACAGGGAGGTCTGGTTTGCACCCTTCCTAGAAGGGCAGGCCTCACGGGGTCTCCTTTCCAGTTGTCAGAGCTCATATCCAAAACAATGCGGTGTACTTTCCACTGTTCCTTTTTGGTTTTCTGCAAACTCCTTATCTCTTTCGTTTTCATCTGTTTCAAGAACTGTGTATTTCCTCTTAAGAGTGTTAACAACTACTTACACACAGAGCGCAGTGTGCCCGGCACTCTTATCTCTTTCATGTGCCTCCTCACTTAGCCTCAACATCCCTGGGAGGAGTTATCACCTCCACATTATCGATGGGGAGTCAGAAATTTGGGAAGGTTGAGCAGTTTTTGCAATCATAGGCGATACATGTTAGCACGGAGTTTTGAAGCTGGATGCGCCTGAACCCTCATTCCCGCCTCCTTAGGGCAGTGTTTCACACCCTTTTCATTACATCCCCAATTATTAGCAACCAAGTTCTCCACCAGCCGCTGTTACATCAGGAATCTGTGTGGTTCTTCCAGGATGCCCACTGGTCTTGACAATTTATTAGAATAAAATTTCATATATATAAAAACCCATACACCACTCACTCGCGGAGATCTGCGCTCCATCAGTCACATCCATGTTCCCATCATGCTTTGCGTCCCTACAAATTTAACAAACCAACCATCTTTTCCTGTTTTGCAGACAAGAAACCAGGCTTGAGAGAAGGGCCCAGCATCACACAACTAGAAACGGTGGACGTAAAACTAGAATGCCAGGGCTTCTGAGAGACCAACAATCATTTTCCACTTCTTCAATAAATAAATGAGCAAAATAAATAAATAAAGCTTTCAAGGAAACCCTGAGCAATCCTCCAGTAGGCCTGTTTCCAGAGGGAGTTATCAGGCCGGCATCTATAAGCTTCTTGGTAGAATGCCATGGCAGAATTTCCTAGGCCAAAAGGCCCACGTTGAGAATGTGACGCAGAAATGCAGAGAGCTGAGAGATGGCCCTGGCAGGCACCCACAGGCCTGTCTCCCTGCCTACAGTCCCTGTCTGGGGACCGTAAACTGACTTTGTTTGAACAATGGGAAAGCAGGGCCTACGTCTGCCCCGCTGTGATGGTGACCAGCAGCTGTTTAGGCACAACGTCAAGTGCTCCTCCTGGATGCTAGCCCTGGGAAGATGGGTTCTGGAGTCTACTTCCTTTTAGCCCAGTCTGCAGGATCTGTGTCCCTGGTCTCAGTCCCTTTGTCCTTCCTTGGCTCCGTAGTGATGTAGTAACTGTTTGACTGCCTGGCTAGGGCAGACACGCCTGAAGCACTCTAGGGACAGGTTCCCTGCCTGAGAAGGCTGCCAGCAGAACAGCGTCTCCATGTGACACACCACCCTTCCAATAAAACTGTGCTGTGCTCCTGCTTCTCCTAGAGATGGTGCTTGCAACCTTGAACAAGGGGGGTGGGGCAGGCTGCATCTTACAGTACTCCAACTGGCTGACACCTGGCTGTCCTGAAGGAGGCTTCTGGACCTGAGCTGACCTCAACCTGGCAGCCAGACCTTGTCTCAAGAAAGCTCCATGGTTCCATGAGCATACACTCCTTGACGAGATAGAAAAAAGCCCAAGGAGGGAGGTCTCTGCCCTGCCTCTCTTGGCCTTGATAAGGCCTGCAGGGCCCACTCAGCAAAACAAGTCAGCACCACCTGTGCACCCTGCACCACTCCATCAGGATGGCCTGCACTGCCCTGGGGGACAGGCTACAACTGACCCCAGGGGCTTGCAGAGGGGCCTGCATCGTCCTCTGACCCCCGGGTTCCTCCTCCTGCTACCTGCAGGTGAGCAGGCACAGCTGAGATAGAGATAGTCCCTTCGCATGAGTCACTCACTTGAGTACAGGCTGGAGATCAGAGGCTGGGTGACTAGGTCTGAGTCAAAGCTTCCCAAGAGGCCTCCTGGGGCTGCCACACAGTCCCCAGGAGCAAGATCTTGGGTAGGAGCCCAGTCACATGGTCCCAGGTCACCACAAGTAGTCACACTCAGGAATGGCCACTCCTCAGTCAACTGGTTCCACTGTCCTGATGGGATGCTTGAGGGAGCCAGAGTTATATCTGGGGGATCCTGCTTCAAATAGCCTTTGGCCAGAGCTGGAAAAGGCCGGCCTGCCTCAGTATCCACACATGTCTTGACCTGCGGGCATAGACAATCTGTCAAAGGGGTCTCTGCCTCCAGGCTGGCCGCTACAGCTGTCCTCTCTTCGATGCATCGGGTCTGTTTCAGGTAGCCCTGGAAGGCCACTGTGGCTTGGTCGTCTTCTTCAGGGACCTCAGGCCCTGGGCGATGTACGTGGCCCAAGGCAGAGCTGCCCTGTGTGCTCCCAGGTTGCCCCTCAGAGTTTTGGACAAGGCTGATCCCACTGTCATCCTGGCCCTGGCTTGTGCTCCCCACCTTCTGCTCCCAAGGAGGCTCAGAGCCAGGGTTTAGACTAGGGTCCTGCAAGCAGATCCCGCTGTCTGTGCTGCTACTGCTGCCGCTGCCACTGGCACTGCAGCTGGCCTGCAGATCTGGGGGCTCCCCGTTTTCTGGAACCCCACTGGCCCGAGGGTCAGGGGCAGGGAGGAATTGAGATTCTTCCATCTGCAGGGATGGCTTGGTACTGCTGAAGCCACTGTCCGTGCTGCTGTGCAGGTCTGAGTTCTTCAGCTCTGGGGATACCTTCTGGAAGATCTCTATGTCAAGGGGGTGGATGGTGTCCTGCATCGTCTCTGGGTAGGGCAGCCCAATGACAAGGACGTCGGGGCTGGGTTTCTTGAAGACCTGAGGAGGACAGGACAGAGTGAGAGAGGCAGCGGAGTGGGGGCTGCAGAGCACCCACTTTTGGGGTGTTGTGGAATCATGCTTTTCTCCTAAGGCACTCCTCAGTTTCCCCCAGGCCCAGGGCGAAGAAGCTGATATTCTCCAAGCCCAGGGGGAGCAGGAGGTCGAGAGCCCTGAGACAATTCCATCTCCCAGGCTTTTCAAATGTGAAAGCAGGCTGGAGCAACCCTTTTAGAAGTGTGTTTCAAAATTTTTTTACAATGACCCCCCCCCAAAAAAAAAAACCCAAAAAAACATAGTAACTCATATGTGTAACTCACACGTAAATAAATGAGGAAAGGTTCACAAAAAGAATACTTACTACCCATGTTCCATGATACATGCTGTTCATGTCATTCTATCCTATCCTACCTGTTTTGCTTTTTAAAATTCTGGCTGTAGAACACTAAATTAGTTTCTCGACTCACTGAGCTATGACCCACACAAAACAGGGGGGCTGGAATGAGGTGGAGGAATGAACAGCCGGACTCCCACATCTCTCGTAATTGCCAAAGGGAAGTCACTTAGCCCCTCTCCCTGTCACTCCTGTCCCTTATCTCAGTGGTGTTCTCTCTGTCCCTGAACGATCAAGCGGGGCTGCCTGGGAGTGTTACTGCACGGCACCTCAGGGCTTGGGTCTCCCACCTCTGAAGTTTCAGCTCACATTACCTCTTTAGGAAAGCCTTGCCGGAGTAACCGCGCCAGCCACTTTCTCCACGTGAACCTTGTTTACTTCTTCCTGGCCCTTAGTTCCTGTATTGTTTTATTTCTTTGTTTTCTGCCCTCTGACAGCATACATATCTGCATCTGCATCCATCGACCCTTCACAGAGCACAAGCCCCTTGACCGCTGTAACTGTCCAGCCTGGTTGGCCACGCTATCCCAGAGCCTAAACTGAGCTGGCAGCAGTAGACACTCACAGGTCTGACGACTGACTTACTGTTGTGTATCTGCCCTCATTTGGGGGTTCAGTTAAGTCAGACTTACAAATGAACTCCTTTCTGGGAGAAGCGTTGGTAAGTTGGATTTGTTGGTCAGCAGATAGAATCTTACACAGTATACCTGCAAAAGTTTGTGACTAAAATGTTCTTAAGTCAGGACTGGCTGCATTGGATGACTCACATGTGGCTCTTATTAGTTGAGTCCCTGTTACTGTCACTTTGTTTGGTGATTAAATCCCAGCTCTGCCTCTTACTGTCACTTGGGCCAGATTCCTTATCTTCTCTGAGTTTTAGCTCCTCACCCGCAAAGCAGAATTATGAAAGCAAGTGCCTCCTCTTCGTGTAGTTAAGCATGTGTCACGCTGAGAACCTTCTGGGGTACCTCAAAGGCACTCAACAGGATGAACTGCTCTGTATCTTCTAATAGAAGGGTAGTGTTAGGACCTCTGCTTCTTAGAGGAAAGATGAAACTCAGAGCAGGTAAGTGATTTGCCAGCCACACGGCAGCACAGAGAGTGAACCTGGAAACTGCACTCGACTATCTCGCTTGGAGGCTCCCTGCTCACCTTGATGGGCTGTTAAGAAGAGCAGACCAAAGCAGCTGCTGGATGAGGACAAACTGGTGAACTGAAAGTGCTGCCTCGGGCAGCATAAGTTATTCACAGACTTAGTCATGGTGGAGGTCACTAGGTGAGGGCCACTGGGCTGTATTTATTCAGCGGAGAGAACATCCCACAGGACATTTGATTCTATCATCCAAAGGCACCAAAGGAACAAGGACTTGTCATCTCTAGCAGAATTTTGTAACCATGGCTCCTTCAATGCTTTGCATTAAAGCTAAGCTCATACATCTGGCTGCAGTCAAGTCCCTTGGGGCCAGCTGCCACATAAATCATCTTCCCAAGGACATTTTGCATGTGATGGGTGTTCATTAACTAGCTCAATCACCTCTTTGACTCATCGGAGATGCCTCTCTGGACCCCCAGCTAGCAATATCCCACCCATCACAGCAGGAGCCCCTTCCCACTCCCTTCTACCCTCCAGCTATTTTCTCTGGCTCAGTCCTCAAGATAAACTGCATGTGAGTTTATCTCTAAACCACCACTGTCCCAGCTCCCAGCCCTGCACATGGCCGGTGCTACATGGCAGGCCAGTGGAAGTATGTGCTGGAACTGATCTGCCTGGAGCAGAGAGAAAGGACAATGACTGCATGCTTCAGCCAGAACAGGAAGAACTGAAAACCACTGCAGACTGAAAGCTGCCTGTCCCCAAGTCTTATCACACTGTACACTCAGTGTACCAAGCTGGGACACAGTCTTGTCATGTCCTCCCTTCTTTTCCTATTGTGCAGAGCCTTGTCTCTTTCGTTTGTTTTAGAAAGCCTGGATCTCTCTGGAGGTTTCCCTTCCTCTGTGAGCTTCCCAGAGTGCCCTGCTTCCCTGACCCAGCTGTGTCTTTTGCAACTGAGCCCTTGGTCATCACAGAGCAAGGCCAGCTCTGGAGACTGTGATCCCATTCTGCCTAGGAGAAGCAGGTCCTCATCTCCTCCCTCCCTCTGTGACAGCTACAACCCTTCCTTCTTCTCTTGGCGTTCTCCCTAAGGGCCACGAGGGGTGGGAAGACAGGCTGCCTTCCTAACACTTTTTGCCCGTAGACCCTGTGCATAGAACAATCTCTCTGTGCCTCACTGTCCTGACTTATGAAATCAGGATGATAACTAGTAGTAACCCAAACCCTTATGATCACTAGGGCTTGTGCTTACTCAGCACATGCATGCATGTGGTATCTAGGCTACTGGGAAGTACCAGTTCTTGGGCCTGGGCTTTATATTTATTCTACTGCCTGTCCCCATGGTGCTTTGCGTGGGTACCTCTTGGTAATGTCAGGGTTGAGGCAGAAGTAAGCCAGGGACTACACTGGCTTGGAGGGAAAGAGTACCCTGCTATCCCTGGAGCTCCAGAGTACCTGGAGGGAGGGGGCAGTACCTGGAGGGATGGCCCAGAAGACTCACCAGGACAGTGGGTAGTGTTCCCCGGCGCCGCAAATACAGCTGGACCAGACAGTAAGCCAGGGGTCCACAGAGCAGCAGGATGAGCGGGAAGAAGAGGCTAAGGCTGGTCACAGTGATATCTGTAGGCCCAGAGAGAGGCATTTGTAGGCTGGCACCATGAATGAAACACAGGAACAGACTGCGTAGACCCCTTGGCCACCCTCCGAAACCACTCAGAAAGTGGCCTCAGGCCACCTCTCCAGGCAACCTGTAGGTCCCAGTTCTAGAGGTGTCTAGTTTTCTGTCAATCTCTCTGGCCTTCCAAGCCCTGCCCTGAAGAGTTCCCTCATTAGACATGCTCAGTCAGCTTTCACCCTCTCTCTCAACAGAACAATCAGGCAGGGTTGTACAGCAGGTAAGTACAAAGGCTTTGGGGTGGCTGGTCATGGTTCAAATACCAGCTTTACCACTTCCTAGCTGTGGGACTAAGGACCATTACTTCATCTTTCTGAGCCTTGGTTTATTCATCTATAAAATGGAAAAAAATTATAGTTCCTATCTCATAAGATGATTGTGAAATACATAGCCTGTATCATGTTCCAAGTACTTTTCTTAACATCATCTGATCCTACGAAAACTTCAGGAGGCAAATATTGTCACCCTTATTGTAAAGGCTAGGATCCTGAGGCTCAGAGGCGTTGAGTCACTTGCCCAAGATCACCTAAGCGGGAAAGCTGAGATGAGGATAAAATTATTCTTTTATAAGTCAATCAATGTAAAACAACCCGCCAAGGCTGCCGGACATATACTTAGTCTCTAATTTTGTGGTGGGACTTAGATGGGAATGAGCTGCTGGGTGGTTTTCATAAACTGAAATGTAGTGAAGATCTGTAATTCAGGGGCACTTCTGTCTTGGCTGGCCCTGCTCACACTGACCGCACGTACTATTGGCATAATCTGGGCATTCACCTTGCGACCCTGAATTGCTCGCCATAGCTTCCTCTTCCACCCTCCTCCCAAGCCAGATAAAGGCTCTCCTGAGCAGGACCCGGCTCTGTACATGACTCGCTTCCCAACCCACCGCCAAGAGCCTGCAGTTGAGTTTCTGACTTCAGCAGCTCTTTCAAGGAGCCAGCTCAGTTCTGCTTCCTCTAGGGGGAGGGAGGGCAGGGAGAAGCCCTTCATACTGGGCCCTGAGGAAGAACAGCACGTATGACAAACAGGAAGCAGCACAGCTGACTGTGGGGCGCCTGGGGAGGTCCCTGGAAGAACCCCAGAATCAGGGGAACAGGTTCTGCCATCACGCCCCTGTGTGATTCTACAAAGTCTGGACACAAAGCCTCAGTTTGCAAATCTGTAGCATGGGGACAACAGGGCCCTCTTAGGGCTCCATGAGGATAAGGAGGTGTGTGGGGTGGTGCTCTACCCAGTGCCCAGTCCCTAGCCCTCAGCTGATTCTCCTGGGTTGTACCAGCCTTGCCCTTCCCACCTGGCTGCCAACTTACACTGCTTAGTGAGGACAACGCACTCTTCCTTGGACCAGAGCCCCTTGTTGTTTCGGGAGCCAACAGATGGCTTCACTTGGATGCAGAACTTTCCCACCTCCCCAGGGATTGGGAGGCTGAAGTTCTCATGGTCTACCTTCTCGCCTGAGAACTGAAATAAAAACAAAAATAATAGCCACATCCTCTTACATCACAGCAGATAGCAGCTGAGAGCTGGAGAGTCTTTTTTTTTTTTTTTTAATGCAAGCTGGGGCTGGAGCCCAGGCCCTTGAGCATGCTAGGGAGCTCGCTGCCTCTAAGCTACACCCTGAGGCTTGGGAGTCAGGGGTGGGGCTTGGGAGATGACAGGGTCCAAGCCTTCAGCCTTTTCTAAGATAACAAACCCCACGATTGTCAGTGTAGCCTGACTTGTCTGTAATGTCCATAAGCAACTTTGTATTATTAGAGAAAAGGGAGTCTTTTACTAAAGCTGAAGATCTTTGCAGATGAGACCTGAATAAATTATAAAGAGATGGATTTCACACAAATCTCCCACTTATCGGCATGTTCTTGTGTAAGTTACGCAGCTTGTTCATTTAGGAAATGCATGCAATACCCACTGCCAGGAAGTCAGAGGTGACAGCTGTCACTTGTTTCACGTGCTGGCCCACAGTGGGAGACTGTGTTTCCCCACCGTCTCGCAGGAACACGTTTGAGGGCTGAGGTCACATAAACTCTTTCCTTAGGAACACACCTGCCTCTACTTGGTGTCCAGAATGCACGGCACACAAAGGTGACCCTAGCCCAGGGGACAGTGCAGCCTTGGCCCTGTGGCCTTGGGGCACTCCATACCTTAAAGCGTTCTGGTGCCTTGCGAATGTCAATCTCATACTGGCGGTAGTGAGTGAAGATGCTTTCATATGTGACACCTGCAGGGGCCACCTGGGGCCTGGGGAGCTGGATCTTTCCGAAGATGAAGCCCTCACGCATCTCTAGTTTCACACTGTCAACCTTCAGAGTTACTGAGGGGAGAAAGAGCGAAGCCATGAAGCCGAGGGCTAAGGAGGGCCTGGGCATCCCACCCATGTCTTGCTCTGGGGTCAAGCTTTACCCTCCTGACCAAGGTCACAGGTTTCCCAACCCACACCCACACAGCCTTCTCAGGGAGCATTCAAAATAGAGACGCCATGGGCCCACTCAGGACATAGGGAGTGTGAATTTGTCAGGCTGGGCCCTGGAAATACATTTTTCAAACATACTCTCTGTGAAACGTCCCTGCACCCAGCTGAGCGGTGGTCAGTGAGCAGGCATTTGGGAGCCAGTGACCTCCGGGACATTGGCTCTCCTCCTCTGTTCCTACAAAGCAAACTTAACATGCACAGGTGGCTCAGCTCAAAATGTGGAGCAGGGAATCCCACCAGAGTCAAGGCTTACCCTTTCCTGTTACCTTTCCAGGAAGAGTTGGGTCTTTTCCTCAGCCACACCTTTGTTACAAGGGTGACTCCTAGGAACTGGGCCCAAGCTGGGTGGGGATCTCAAACAAATTCTGCCTATTGCTTGCTGCCCCAAGTGCTTTCTCTCCCCAAACCAAGTTCTCTTCGAGTTCACTAACTTGGCCTTTGTGACTCAGCTGCCCTATCTGCCTCCAAACCTCCCCTCTGAGAGTCACATCTCGGATGACTCTGGTTAATTTCTTTTAACCTTCTCCAGAGATCTGCCTCATGCCTGTATAGGCAACAAGTTCCTGAGTCAAGATGTCTAGCTGCATGAAGAGCTCAGGCAATGGAGAGAAAAATACTGTGCTGGTTTCTGGCTCGAAGGGACCCCAAAAGCCATGTTCTTGGTCAAGGGAAGGATAAATACCTTCATCCAGAGAAAAGCGGGTATCGGCCAAGGTCCAGTTGGAGTGTCGGCCGCCATCCACTGCCCGGACTTTGGCACGGTAACCATTGTTATGGTACAGGTCTAGGGTGACGTTGGTGATGTCACAGCACAGCTCTGGGGCGTGGCTACAGTGGGGTACCAACTTCCATTCTCTTCCATACCTGAGAGTATATCAGGATAGGCACTGAGGGAGGAACTTAGGCCCAAACATACTTCCTGTAATACATCAGCAAGGGGTTGGGGCAGAGAGCTCCCATAATGGAGAAACTGGAACAGCTATCAGGGGATTTCCTGGATCCGGGGCCTCTATGTGCAGAGTCTTCCTTGGTTCTGGAACCTTACACCAACTTCTCTGAGACCTGGAAGACTCTCTGAGTATGAATAGCTCTAGTGCTATTTCTCAAGAAAGACTTGCTAGCTCACACCACAGCCTATGCTCTGCCCTCTTCCCACTACCATCTCACTCTGGAGGGCTTTCCCATTCTCCAGGGATATTCTGGGTGCTCTTCCTGCTTTGCTGGGAAAATGGAAAAGACTTAAGGGTAAAAGCAGTAACTTGCCCTCTCTCCCCAGAGCACCCAGATTACTGCTCAGTACATGAGACCCAACAGGTTCTGCTCAACTGAGTGGACAAGGATTAGGGTCCCTTCTGGTCCTGTCTCCAAAAGAAGGCAGGTATATTCTTCTGAAAAAGGGAGCAGCAGGGCTGAACCCCCTCTTCCTACCTCCCTTCGTCCAGCTCTTATTTCCTTACCACTGGAGCTCCACCTCATAGTAGGTGCTTTTGGACTGATTTGAGATGGGCTCCCAGCAGAGGACGTGGTAGAAGAATTCTGCTGTAAACCACACCGTTGCAGGGTTTGGTAGTTCTGAGCCTGGGGAGAAAAATGTCAACATCAGAGCTCACAGGCTCACCTCCAGGGACAGTGAAGAGGGTGGTGATGGTGGTGAGAACTGTAACTTATTTGCTGGGTAGTTTATGATAAGCCAAGCACTGTGCCTGGTGTTTCACATATGTTCCATTTAGTAATCACAGCAGCCCCCGCAGGGTAGGCATTTGTTAAGGTTTGTGTCTGGATGTGCCCCCAAAGCCTTATGCAATCATGGGGTGGCTTTTAGAGTTTGTGATTGATTCATGGCGCAGTGCTGGGATTATGGGTGTGCATGCTATGCCCACACTAGGGTGGGTAGCCTGCATACGATATAAGGGACAGAGAGGCTACCCTCAAGCCCCTCTCTTTTCGCACTTGTTGCTTTTGTTGTCTTCCACCACTATAAACTGTCGCTCCTCTGCCATGCTGCCCTGCCTTGCAGCCAGCTGAGTATGAACTGAAACCTCCACAAACTGTGAGCTAAATAAACCTTTCCTTTCTTAACTCTGACATCAGGCGTTTTGTCTCAGCAATGAGAGAAAAGAAACCAAGACAGCATTTGGAAGTTCAGAGAGGGTAAATGCCTTGCCCAAAGCCAATAGAGCTGGGAATATATGTGCAGAGAAGCACATGTATTCAGGTGTGGCTGATGCCAAAGCTCATGCTGTGTCCTTACATCACGGCCTTTTGTTGACTATGCTCAGATGCTGCAATGGTGGCTGGGAAGAATACCTGGATGGGAACCCTCCCAGGGAGAAGGCAGGAGTCCAGGCTGAGGTGTGCCAGCAGTGAGCACTCAAGTGAGCCAGTCCCTGGACCTGCGCAATCCTTGTTATTGCTCCAGCAGCGTCCTAAGGCCTGCTCCCACCTCTTCTCTCCGTCCCCATGCTGGCCCAAGGCCACTTCTTTGGCAATCTTCAGTACACCTATACCCTGCTTAGTGACACGTGCCTATTTTTCCTCACAGATCTCTCCTGGACTCCTCCATTCCCTGGCTTCTGGAAAGGCCTTACCTACCCAGATGCCCACCTCAGTCTGGGACAAGACAGAACACATTAGCTCTGGTTCTAGACTGCACTGAGAACATTTCCAGAAAGAGCTAGCACCCAGTGGGAGTGGGATACTAAATACTCATCTCTCCTCTACCCCGCCACCCCTTCTGCCACCAACACACACCATTCACCATGAGCAACACCGACCCCAGGAGCCTCGCACTAACACTGAGCAGAGTATTTAACCTTGCTGAAGCCACTCTGCCTTCTGTAAGAAAGCACTCAACACACCAACTTTAAAAATCTTGCTGAATAGGCAGCTGAAATTATGCAAGGACCAAAGTGAATGAGATTCCCTTCTTGCCTCCCCTTTTTCCTCCTGTAGAACAACCCCAGGGGTGCTCTACCACTGGACCGCATCCCAAATCCTTTTTATTATTAAGTTTTGAGCCAGTGTCTTGTTGAGGGGCCCAGGCTAGCCTCAAACTCTCCATCCTGTGCCTCAGCCTGCCCACTCGCCCTACCCAACCCTTCCCTCCTTCTTGGTCCCTTACGGTGTCTCCATCTGACAGCACCTCTGGCCACAAGTCCCTGTTCTCTTCTTATCATCTCTCACATCATACTTCTGACCTTCTCACTGCAGGTACAACTGCTTCATCCCTTGTTTTCTTTCACATACTATGTTTGAGCCTCTGTCATTCCCTCCTTTTCTCCCTTCTCTTTCTCCTCCTCTGCTCCCCTGCCTCTCTTCTTCTTCCCCTTTTTCTCCCCTCCCCACCCTCCCCACTTTTCTTTCTGACAGGATTTCGCTAGGTTGTGCTGGCTGGCCTTGAACTTGAGATTCTCCTGCCCCAGCCTCCTAGTAGCTGGGACTCCAGGCAGCAAATACCATCAGGTCCAACTTAAGTCTGTTTCGATTGCAAAACACCAGATAGAAAGTGAAAAATACATCCAGTTTTTGCAAGGTTTGGGCATATCCCCATTTCAGCTCTTGATCACATGAATGACTAACCACATGTTTTCCTTTATATTCTCATCTCGATAGCTTTTTTTTTTTTTTTTTTTTTTTTTTCCTTTGCTCTCCCTACCTCTCTTTTGATCTCTTCAATATTTGGCCCTTTCCTTGGCTCCCCCTGGCTTCTCAGCACCAGAAATTTAGCCTAAGTTAAGCGGTAGATGTCAGAGGGAAGGAAGGTGGATGTCAACACGGGTGAGCTGGGGGCTGAAGACTTTCAAGAATGATCAGAGGGGGGTGGGCAGTTCTGGTGAAGCCCAGGGCAGGCATGGAGCGAAATAAGGGTAAGAGGAGCGTCACAGTGGACCAAACTCACTCCCCAGGAGTACAAAACAGTCCCACACTAGGAGTCACAGAGACAAAATTTATCGTGCGTCTACAGGAGAGTGGTCGATGGAAGTTTTTGGAGGGGGAAGTCGGGGGTGAGGCGACTATTGGCTGTACACACACATCTCTATCCACCTCCCAACCCGGTTACTTCAGCTTCTTCCACTTCAACAGGTGAGCCTGAAGCCCACTCTCGCCGGTGCGAAGCAGCGCCGGCCCGGGGCTAGGAAGTCCCAGCTCCGAAAAGTTTCAAGGAAGAACGGGGACTGGTCGGACTCGGGTCTGGCCACCCGCACAGCCGGCGGCGCGGTCGCGGAGCTTACCGTGCGTGCCCGGGGCGAGGCGCAGGCAGAGGAGCGCCGCCAGAGGCACTAGCAGGCGCGGCAGCATCCTAGGCGCGCCGCATCGTCTAGAGCCGGAGCGGGAGCTCAACTTCAGCCGCGCAGCTCCGCCGAGCACCCAGGCTCCCGCGGCTTTGGGCGTCGGGAGGCGGGCTGACGTCACGGGGCGGGCCCCAGGACGCCCCGCCCCCGAGGTCCCGGCTTCCGGGATCCTGTGTCTGATGGTGGGGCTTCCTGGACTTGGCGGTGCAGAAATCCACCTCCGCCTGCGGCCAGCTCTGTCCTACTCCCATTTGACTCCCAAGGCTAGGCGGGGTGGCTTTGACCTGGTGTGTGCATGTGTGCGTGTGTGTGTGTGTGTGTGTACACGCACGAGCGTGCACACGCCTTCCACTGGGTGCGGAAGGTGGGTGGAGAGCGAGCCTATTTTACCGGGTCGGTGGGATCAGGTTTAGAGCTGAGACCCAGCTGCTATGGCCAGGTGTACAGGACATGAACGTGTGTCCTGGTGACCTCTGTGCAGGACTAAACCTTAGCGCAGGCTCCCTCCTGCGTGACTTAATATATTTTAAAGGAACGGCCACATCTTTCAGCAACTTTTGCTTTCCCTTCCTTGTCTGAAATCTCACCTCAGTACTAGAGGACCCGTTAACACCGAAGTGCACTCTTCCATCCCTTCTGTGTTGCTTGGCTCAGCTGACACTTCCGTCTGAATGCACAAAGATGTAAGGATATGGGAGACAAACTGCCCCTCCCTTCGGTTTTCATTGGAGGGTGACACATACTACCCTGTATGTGTGTGTATGCTTGGGAATGTTCATACATGTGCCTGAGCTCACATGAGATTTGCTATTGTAAGCCTACCTGGATTGGGATTCAGCTGTGCTGGGGAGTATGACCCTTGCTTTCAGAGGATGTAGGGACCAAAGGGGCACCAAGCTAAGGTTGGGGTCCCTGAGCTCTGCCTGTCCCTGAGAAGTTTCCCCAGAGGTACCCAGTGCCCACACTGAAGGTCTTATCCTCTGTACCTTTTGAAAAAGGAGCCCCAGCTTGGGAGTGTGTGAATGAGCGCTGTGTGTCTGGGCTAGGAGTTAGTAAGGCTTTATTGCCATGGCTTGTGGCATTGTGAGCCAGTTCAATGCTGTCAGAGTGCAAGTCTCTCCACCCATTTGCCTGGACAGAGTGAGTCAAGCTGGCTGGGGGTGGGAGTTGGAGGTCTCTTCTGTGCCTGAGTGTGTACATTGAGAGCAGAAATACCTCACTGTGCGTGATAGTTGGTGAAGGCCAGGATGCCCCAGCTCGATGTGCAGCAGAGGGTGGTAGCAGTAAGTCCACTAGGATGTGTGATGAGTCAGAGCCGCTCTCATGAGAGAGCTGTAGTTACTACACCCTCAGTCAGCTGGGAAGGAGAGTTCCAGGTTTTTTAATGTATGAGGATGTTTTCTGCACTGTCTATTGCTCAACTGAGAAAAGTAGTTGGCAAATTGCACAGGGGTACCCAGGCATGATGAAAGGGGCGTGGCTGCCTTCTGAATCAGTTTCTAAGTTCCTCCTAACCTTTTAAAGGAGGACACTGTTGAGATTTCTTCCTCATCTTGTCGTTATTTTTAGTTTTATGTTGAACTGTAATAATTAAAAGATCTTAGTCCACCACTGTTTTGAAAAAGGACCAGGATTCTTCATTAATTGACATGGCCAACCTTTGCACACTTATTATGAACCAGATAATAAGTGTTAGAAATCCTTTGCAGGCACCAGTTGTTAGGGACCCCCGAAGTGAGTTTCTGATCTCCTTCCCAGAGTTGCAGACACAGTGGGAAGAAAAAGGGCAAGAGACAAGACAGAGGTGCAGGCAGGAATCTGAGATGACTGTGTTCTTGGGAAACAAAGATTGCAAGGTACCCAGAACCATGGTAATTATTCATTATATCTGAGTCAAGGACAGTGGATGAAGGGCAGTGAGTGTTGCCTGGAACAGTAATGGTGACTGATAGGTTCTGGCCCAAGTATGAATTGCTGGATTATTATGGTGGTCATTTAATATGGCTGAAGCCCTTAAAACAACAGCTTATCTTCCCAGAGACTACCTCCCCCCTTGTTCTCCAACCCAGCCAAGGATGCAATTTCTTTTCACCTTTCCCGTTGCCACAGAGAAGACCCCAATCAGCTTCTCAGGTATATCTAAACATCCCCCTCAAACACTACCCCTGGCCATAAAAGCCTCAGCCTCCCTTTGTTCCAGTTCAGAGAATCTTCTATCTTCCCCAGATTCTCTCCATGTCCTGAAAGATAATAAAGCCCCTTTCCCTTTTTCTTTTTGCCTGTTTCTCTGCTGTAATGCTGTCCAAAAAAACCTATCAGTAACTGCGGTGGACTAGGTAGAAGGACAAAGCATTATTGTAAGGACAAGGACAAGGACAAGGAGGAGAATGCGGGGGACCATGGTGCAACTGTACTTTCCCGAGGTATCTTATTGTCTCCAGCAGGTTTTATCCTGCCCCGTGAGAGCTACAGTAGTCACCAGCTGTAGGCCTTCCAGCTATGACCAAAAAACAGTTTCCATCAGAAAAGAACAGTTTCCATGTTCTGATCTGACTCAAGGGCAGGATAAGAACAAGCCTTGGGCTTCCCCTGGACTCAATTTGTAATTTGTGATTCTCATCAAATAATGTTGTGCTAATGCTGATGCTGTCCATAAACCAAAACCCCATCCTGGGCTGGGCTAGTATGCATATAGTTTGGTGGCCCAAGTACCTGCCTGGCCAGGGCAAACTCATGAGCTTGATTCCTGATACAAACAAACAACAACAACAAAAAAAAACCGCACATCCCTTTTAACACTATGATTTTTACTAGTACACATTTGCAGTATGTGTTTACAGTTCCTGCGGAGAAGTCCGCATGTACACAACATGTCTTAATTTGTTTCTTGGGCCCTCCCCTCCTACCCTGCCTGCTTCCTCTGACTCTTATTTCCCTTCCCATTTTCAAAAGGTCTGTTCCAGTCTTTCTTCAGCTCTTTTCAATCCCTCTCCCCTCTCCGCCGTCCCCCATTATTTGCTGCCTTTCCTATTTGACAGACATCACCCTACTTCCTATTTCCTTTTGCCCTCTATTTTTATTTTAGGTTTCGCATGTGAGAAAAATCAGGTGCATCCATTTTCCTATAAATGCCACAAGTTGATCCTTCTTTGCGGCCCAAGGATCCACTGTATAAACGCCACGCTTTATGCATCTGTTAATCAACTGTTTCCAAGATTTAACTAACATACATCGTGTTTTTATAAGCACGAGCATGCAATTATCGCTGCAATATGATACCTTTAACTCTTTCAGGAAGATACCTAGAAGGAGGATTGCAGACTGGACCAATGGAATTTGTTTTAGGAATTTCCATGCTGCTCTTCCTATGAAAAGGGACTAGTTTACATTCCCACCGACAACGTAGAGTAATTCCTTTTTCCTCTCCACCTCAGAAGCACTTGGTATTATTTACTTTCTTGAGGATAACCGTGCTTCCTGGAGTAAGCTGGCCACTCAGTGTTATTTTAACTTGCATTTCTCTAATGGTGGTGAGGTTGAACATTTTTCATGTATTTGTTAGCCACCTGTACTTCCGAGACGTGTCTGTTCATGTTGGCTGCCTGCTTTTTTGATTGGGTCTTTTATTTGGGGGCTTCATTTTCTTGAGTTCCTTGAGTTCTAGATTAGTGGCAGCGAACCTGTGGTACGGGTGCTGCACTGGGCCATTTGGATCATTGAAAGCTCTAAAACATTTCACTATCATTGCAGATGCTAGTTCTGTACCTGAGGAATAGTTGGCAGACTGTTTTCCCACCCTGTAGTTTGTCTCTTCACTGTTAGTTGTTTCCTTTGCTGTACAGAAAATTTTTAATCTGATATGGTTGATTTGTTGATTCTTTTTTTTTGAGAGTCACAATTTATTTATTTATATTTTTGAGAATCACTTTTTATTAGCTACATTGACAAACTTGTAGCCCAAACCATTTTTGCATACATAAAATACTTATATTTCTATCTTTGTATAATTATAATTTTGACTTGTTCTAGATCATCTTATTTGCAGCTGTAGTTTCTTTGCTCCCTTTATGAATTAGAAAAGCTCATTCTCACTTGAGACTGAAGTCAAAACTGGATATTCTGAAGTTTTTAAACTAAACATACCATTTGAATTGAAATAGTAAAAAATAGCATATACCATTCATTTATTATTGAAATATATATGTATATATTTGTCATGTTCCAGCTCAACTACATTATCACCTTTAATAGTTTTCTTCACCTCAGTTTTTTTCAATGCCAATTTAATATATTACTTTTTTTGTTTGTTTGGTATTACTTTCCCTTTGCTGTTTTCCATGTTCACAGGCTTATATTTTAAACAGTATTGAGACTTTGGAACCTTCTGCACACTTTGTGTTTCTCCACAGTTTACAATTATACATCACAATCCAAGCAATGAGAAAGTGTATTGCACCGAATGACAAGTAATGGGAGACATGTCAGGAATATTTTTTGGCTGTGGACGTTCAGGTGAGATTGAGTGAACACATCACATGAGTGAAGTTGTGCTGTGAGCCTTCCACGGTGCATCCCAAACTTGACTTTCATGAGCAGTGTCATAAACCCAGTACCTGGAACATCAGAGGGGTATTTGCAGGAAAAAAGTTCAGACTTTTGATCATGTGACTTGCAGGATCATACTCTGATATGAATTCTTTGATTATGCCTATTTTGGCTGTTCTTGGTCACCTATTAACAGTACAGCCTAAAATAGGATGGTTAGAAATAAAATAAAATGTCATGGCCTGAATGCTACCTGTCTGCAAATTCACCTGTTGAAGCCTGCACCCCAAATATCATAGAATGTGACTGGCTTGGAGACAGTTAAACGGAGATCACTCAGGCAAGCTGAGGCCTTAGAGTGGCTCTAAGACAATCTAAGTGGTGTCTCATAAGAAGGAAGTTGGATGTGTAAAAGGAACACCCATAATACACTTCGGGACAAAGGCCATGGGAACAACGGCAAGGTGCTGTCTGGAAACCAAGGGGAGCATCCTCAGAAGAAACTGATCCAGGCTCTCAAGCTCCAGAACT